TTAAGGATAAGCAACGAGAGTAACCTGGAGTTGGTTGCAGACCTCAGTAACGATAAATCGAAGTAAGAATTATGGTATAGTATGATCTACATAGATGCAGTAAAGTCATACGAATGGATAACCAGGCCTATGAAATAAGATATAGCCATATTCGCAAGTTCTACAAAGTACAAAGCGAAGAACTTCCGTATACCTATAGATACCCAGAGAAGCATCCTATTAAGCCTTGTATATGTTTACAAAGTAAGGCCTAGAGATTGGCTAAAATCTGGAGGAAAAAGGAGAGGAAAGTTGCATAGGAACACTTACAAGGTCAGTATCGTAGAGGCTGCATGATGGAAGGTAGCAACAGTTACGAGATTGGAAGGAATTCGATCACAAGTCATGGCGTGGGAAAGAGGCCTAAAGGCGGGAATGCCCTGGCCTTTGTATTTATTCACAGAACAACTGCTTAAATGGAAATGAGAGTATTAAGGTATTCACAAGAGCTATAAGTTATGAAAATGATAAGAGCATCAGTTAACATTCGAGGACGAATGTTCCAAAGGGGGGAATAATGTTACGCCTCGCAATATTACGTCCCGCAGTATTATATTACGATGATGTTACGCCTTGCAGTACTACATTACGATGATGTTACGCTTCACAGTATTAAATTACGACGATGTGGCACCCTGTAGTATTGTACGTTGAACTTGTCGTAAGATAATTGACATCATTCCAAGGAAAAGATTATTTGGAGATTATAAGGATTATGCTATTTCAAACAAGTGATGAGTAAATTCGTGAAGGTGAGAGGGGAAGCAAGTCAAAGAAAATGAATTTTCGTTCAAGTTTGGCATGTTGGGACAAAATTCGGGCTGAGCGTTAATACCCGATATTTATGGACTAGTACCATATGACCATGATAGTAGGATGTATAAAGTGTATTAAAAATAAGTAGAATTTTGAGTAATTTGAGATAATTCTTAATTATGCGGGTAACTGGTTAATTACCGGATAACGGGATATTACCTAATTAACTAATAAGTTTGGATAATGATTAAAATCCCCACCCAACCCCCACGTGGCAGCAAACCACATCTTAAGCAAATGACTCTTAGTCATTTGGATTAGGTGGCCATCTGAGGTACGGCAGATATACACTTACGTAGAAGTTTGGTTTCAAGTGATTTCACCTTGTAGTTCCCTTGTCTTTTCCAATGAAACATTGGCAATATCATGGAGATATTGGATATTGCATTACTAGTAGATGTTATCATCTCCGTATCTAGATCTCCAGCTCTTCCTTTTCTTGCAGGATAGTCCATAGAATCACCTGCAAACATATTAATTAGACTAGTAGAAAAACAAGTTTGGTATTAAACAACATTCAAGGTCATAACACTTACTGAATATGGAATCAGTAGATGGTCGTCTAGGTGATGTGTCCCTTGTACGATCTGGGGAAAAATGAAATAAGGATGACATCACTCTCTGCAGTTAGAAGTAGACAAGGATACAACTAACTTTTTCCATTTCATAAAGCAAATAGATACATGAAAACTGAAGTATATTACTATGGTAGAAGGCCTTGAAAGGGGAACAAATGACTTACCAGGAGAGTTGCGTAGTGCCTAGACAGCGTCGAAGTTTTTGTATGTATAGCCCCAGTTAACATGGTCATAAACCTTTTCCAAGAATATCACACTGATTTTTCCCTACTCCAGGTATGTTAAGGTTATCCCTTCTTTATTTTTGGCATGATCCAAATGATACAAATGAAACGAGCAAAATACGCAACTTTCATAAATGACTCTATTCATAGAAATACTAGGGGTGTCTATATTCTTGATTCCCCATGTGGATTATTATTACATCTTCTGTTCATGGGTCTCAGAAAAATACATGTCTGATAAATTTATCCGAAAGGCATATGGATTTTTATGGCATTCCGAGAAAATCTTATTAATGTATTTCTTATGCATTTCATGCATTTATACATGTACATTAACCCATGACCAGATGGCGTTATATACGCGTATATATGTATATTATATTTATATGGGATATGGGAAAAGGTTATGGCGTTATATACGCACCACCACCCGATCAGCTGGTATTCGTTGATGATTTTGCCCACAGTGGCTGAGATGATATGATGGGATGCTCTCAGAGGCCTGATAATGTTATGAAACATGTACCTATGCATGGCATGACATTCATACGCATATGCATGACACTATAATTATTTCATGATTTACAGAGTTATCCAGACTTACAGGTTGAGTCACTTACTCTATATTTCTTCCATGTCTGTTATATACTTATTAATGTGCCTTACATACTCGGTACATTATTCTTACTGACGTCCTTTTTGCCTGGGGATGCTGCATTTCATGCCCGCAGGTCCCAATAGACAGGTCGAGTGCCCTCCAAGTAGGCTATCAGCTCAGCGGAAGATGTTGGTGCGTTCCATTTGCTTCGGAGTTGCTTGTTTGGTTAGTATGATTTAGACGTGTATTGTTTGGTATGGCGGGACTCTGTCCCGACCTTTATGAAAATTATGTATTCTTAGAGGCTTGTAGACAGATGTCATGTACGTAAAAGATTATATGGCCTTGTCGGCCTATGTTCAGTATACGAATGGTTATTTTGGTCTTATAGGCCCGTATGTCTTATGTATAAGTTGGTATCACATGTTGTATTATACTTATCTCGTGGCAGCCTTCCGGCTCAGTTATCTATGATAGTATGACATGAAAGATACGTTATGTTGGTACTCAATTGAGTAAGGTAACGGGTGCCGGTCTTGCCCCCAGGTTCGGGGCGTGACAGAAATTTGCCATTCCTTAGGTGCTCATTGAATTCGTTCCTCCAATCCCAGATTAAGATGGTTGAATTAACTTCACAGTAACCGTCCACATCCAACAGTGAATGCAGCAATTGAACAACCACACCGGAATCATATCCTTTCATTTCTGTGGGCGAACCTAAATTGGTTAATGTGGATGCCTCCACAATTTCCTCCCTTGGAATGTGAATAGTTAACCACTCTGTGAACCGGGAAAGTAATACTTGAACCTTATTCAAGTATTGCTACATGCGCTCCTCCTTAGTGTCGAAAATTTCGTATACTTGGTTCACCACCAGCTGGGAGTCGCACATTATTTCAATGACCTCGGAACCTAGTCCTTGGGCTAGTTCGAGTCCTGCAACCAAAGCCTCATACTCTGCTTCATTATTAGTTAATGACACAGTTTTAATGGCCTATCTCAAGGTTTCCCTGAAGGAGTAATTAATACTACCCCGAGACTGAACTTTTTTACTTTGGAAGTCCCATCCGTAAACAAGGTCCAAACTCCCGGTACCGTTCTCGATACCAAGACTACTTCTTTAGCAGCTTAAGGCATAATCCCGGACTACAATCGTCCACGAAGTCGGCCAAAACTTGTGACTTGATTGCAGTCCTAGGCTTGTATTAAATGTCGAATTAACTAACTTCGACTGCAAACGACCCAACAACTCAGGCTTATGAAGGACATTCTTCAAGGGAAAGGTTGTCAAAAATGCTATTGGATAATATTAAAAATAAGGCCTAAGCTTTCGAGAGCAGCCATGAGAGCTAAGGCCAACTTTTCAAGGTGCAAATACCGTGTCTCCATTCCCAATAATATTTTACTAACATAATAAATGGAAAATTACGAACCTTCTTCTTCCCGGACCAAAACAACACTTATCTCTACTTCTAAGATAGCCAAAAAAATCAACAGTTGCTCACCTTCTTCCAATTCTGACAATAACAGAGGGCTAGACATGTACCTTTTTAGGTCTTTCAGTGCATGTTGGCATTTTGGAGTCCATATGAAATCGTTCTTCTTTTTCAAAAGTGAAAAGAAGTGATGGAACTTTTCTGAAGATCTCGAGATGAACCTGCTTAGAGCCGCCAATCTACCGGTGAACCTTTGTATTTCCTTTACGCTTGTCAGCTAGTCCGGGAGATCCTTGATGGCTTTGATTTTATTGGGGTTTATTTTGATTCTTCTTTGAGAGACCAGAAACCCCAAGAACTTCCCGGAACCCACTCCGAAGGAACACTTCTCTGGGCTGAGCTTCATGTTGTACTTTCTCAGAATGTCAAATGTCTCTTGGAGATGTTTCAGAAGAACTCTTGCATGAAGATACTTAACTAATATGTCGTCAATATAAATTTCCATTCTCTTACCTATTTGTTTTTCAAATATCTTATTAACAAGCCTCTGATACGTGGCTCCGGCATTTTTAAGCCCAAAAGACATCACATTACAGAAATATGTGCCAAAATTTTTGATTAAAGAAGTCTTCTCTTGATCTTCCGGGTCCATCCTAATTTGATTATACCTAGAATAAGCATCAAGAAAACTCATTAACTCATGCCCGGCCATAGCATAAATTATTTGATCAATGTTTGGCAACGAGAAAGAGTCTTTAGGGCATGCCTTATCTAAATCTTTATAATCTACACATATTCTAAATTTAATATTCTTTTTAGGTACTACCACTATATTGATAAATTGAACTTATATTAACTAATTGGGTTACCTCTTTCTTAACAAACCTGTTCCTGACCTCTGCCATCGGTCGTTTCTTGTGCCTTACCGGAGGGAAATTAGGATCCAAACTTAACTTGTGGACCGTCACCTCCAATGGAATACTTGTCATATCTGAATGCTACCATGCAAAACAATCAATGTTAGATTTTAGAAAATCCATAATTTTTAACCTGAGTTCCGGATTTAACCCTGTCCCTAACTGAAATTTTCTTTCTAATGATTCTTCGAACAAAGCCACTTGTTCGATTCTTCTGCGGTTGATTTGGTCGCATCCGTCTCTTCCGGCACCTGGAAAGACCTTAGTACTCGTTATAATTCCGATGACTCCTCGTCTTTATCATCTTCGATCAAGATGGAGGAAGGCACTGGTTCCTGTGATTGCACATCTCCCTTGCAGCCAGTTGATCTCCTAAAATTTGCTTAATCCCTTCATGTTTCGAAAATTTCAACAATTGATGGTATGTTGAAGGTATAACCTTCATTGCATGTATTCAAGGCCTTCCGAGGATTACCCATGTCGCCATCTACCACTTCGAACATGGTAGTCTTTGTTACTCCTTCGGCATGTGTGAGCAACAAAATTTCTCCTCGGGTTGTCATAATTTTTAAGTTGAAGCCAGCTAGAAACTTTGTCGTGGTAATGATGTTCTCGATTAGCTTCGCTTGCTCCAAAAAACTCCATTGTACGATGTTGGCTAAACTTCCTGGATCAACTAAAACACGCTTAATTTTGAAATCTAAAACACTAAGAGATTTTACCGAAGCATGATTGTGCGGTAGAAGAAGTCCATCAACATCTTCTTCAGTGAAGATGATGTCATCTTCTGAGACTTCTCGGATCCTCTTTCCATGAGTCACCGATATATTCGTCTTCTTCGCAGCCGAAAATATCACCCCATTTACTTCGTCTCCACCGAGGATCATGTTTATCGTCATACGATGTGACCCTATAGCCGGTTTTGATGGTTCTGCAACATCTCGATTTCTCCCATAGTTGCTTTTGGCGCGGTCACTTAAAAATTCTCTGAGGTGACCATTCTTCAACAACATTGTCACTTCTTCATGAAGATGTCGGAAGTCCCCAGCTGTGAGTCCCATGGAATTCACACCATAAGTTAGGATCCCTTTGGCTAGGATCCGATTGAATTGGTTTTGGGAACCTAGCTTCTTTAGTATTTCTCATAGCCGACATCAATTCTACCAGGCTGATATTAAAATTGCAATCAGATAACATGGGATATGTTGAATCTTGGGACCTTGATGCCTCTTTCTCCTGCAACGATCTGCTAATCCGACCACGATCCGCGCGTTCATCGGAAGCGGACCTATCCGATGAGTGGAATCCTTTATAACCATGCCCATCGATCCTCTCGTAAGGCTGAAAATGACTTTTAGAAGACCTCCGATCTGCATTTTATAATTTATCTTGATTCTGATCAGGATTTCGTCCTTTGGAAGTCACCGAAGAGCCAAGTTGATCATCTTCTATTCTGATCTTTGACTAGCATCGATTGTGAACATCTTCCCATGTGGTTGCCTGAAATTCTAGCAAGCTTTCCTTCGGTATTTGGGAGGCATCGGAACTCAACGGGTAGATACCTTTTGTAAATGTCTCAGCTGCCCACTCTTCCAGTATCTCTAGTAACAACATTTTTTCCTTTTGAAACCGGATCACGAACTCTCGTAATAGTTTGGATTCTCCCTAAGATATTCTGAATATATCCGTCTTCCTTGCCTGGACCTTTCTTGCTCCAGCATAAGCTTTGATAAATGAATCTGCAAGCATTTCAAAAGAATCAATAGATATATTGGTAGGTTGTGATATATTCCTGTGGATCTGAAGTCCCATCATATTTTGGTATATCTGGCATCTTAAACCTCTTTGGGATCAACTCCGGTGCTGCACTTGGTCTAAATGGAAACTGCATATACTTCATTGAATCTGGTCCCTTTAACACCGGCGATGCTCCCGGGATCTGATCTATCCGAGCATGGAACTCTTTAGAGTTTTGGTCCATTCGTACATTCAATTCTCTCATAAATCTCATGAGCTCGATTTTGAAATGGTCATTTAAGTTGTTGTTGTTCCCAGATCCACTACCGGTACCTTCTGCCTCGTAGAAACAGATCTCCTCCCTTGGAGTGTCATTATCGGTTCTTTGAACCATTTGATTCACGGGAACGCTGGGAGGAATCAGATCCCTTCCATTAGCATTACTAGAAGCACCCAGTAACGCCTGCTTCAATTCTGTCATCACCTGATCTTGACTTGAGAGGTGATCCATAATCGTCTTTTGTTGTTCTCTCAAGATTTTGACCGTTTCAACAAGGTGTCCAACATCCGCATCATCAGGAGTTGTGCACCTCATATGTCGAGGATATTGGCCTTCACAAACTGGGGTTGCTTCATCTCCTTCGTTGCGGATTTCATTGGTTGAATCATCACGCTAGAACACATCTTCCCGTTCATAGTGTGCTCCAACATTAAAGACATTGTTGACATCATTAGCTACCATACCTGATTTTTCTTTTACTAAGGAAGAAATCAAAATTTGTTAGTAACAAATGAATAGATCAAAGTAATTACACAATTGTATTTGCCCCACGGTGGACGCCAAATTATTTATCGTAAAATGGTACAAATGAATTTGTAACGTGATTTGTAGACAAGTGAATCGATTTGATCCAAAAAAGAAATAAATAAGAACAGAAATAAGATTATGAGATATAATAAAGGAAATACAAGCTTGACTAAGTGTTTAGCTTCTCCGATAGTAGTGGCAAGAACAAAATTAAGAATAAAATAAAGAAAGCAATTCTATAGAATGAGAGCAGATTATAGCTTTTTCGTACAGAATATTTTTTCTTTATACTGTATCCTAATTCTCCTACTTATAACCCTATTTAGGAAGATAAGATCCCTAAATCAAGCTCCTCTTGAATGAGAATAAAACCGTCATTGATGGCTGCATAACGGTTGGCTATAAACGTAGATATTCTCCGTAACGGCTGCTCATTGAATGCTACCCGATGTCAATACTTTGAATTTTTGTCGTCGGCTACTCTGTCTTTGGGATTCACCCACCACTGATCACATGCTTGTAACCGGTATCGACTATATACTGACTCACATCCTACTTGCCTTCGGCTCCATGTATCATCTCTTTATTCGTCCAACTATCACTAATCAATTTTAACGCATAAAAAGTGTTGTTTCAAATGTAAAGGTGATAACTTGAAAGCTATTACTATGTGTTATTTGGATCCAAGTAAATGGATTTTGTTTAAAAAAATGAACAAAACAAAAAAAGTTATCCATAGCATCTTCAGTGTAAACTGTAAAGTAGAGGAACAAATTACATATTAGTATTGCTCCATCACCACTCCACTAGTGTACATTGCCGGAAAATGCCACCCAAATCGGTAACCACCACCTCATCAACTTCCGGCATGACCACCCAATTCGCTGATCATCGCATCGATTACTCAACCAATGCAAGAAAATTTCACCTGTTACACCTCCTCTGGGTTTATGTTTAATTTGTCCTTAGCTTAGTGTTGTTGGATTGTGATGATTGGATTTAACTCTAGGTGTTAAAGTTATTTATGCTTCTGCTGGTGTTGTTTTATTGTTATTGCGTGTGTTATTTATTCCTATCAAGATTCCTGGTTATCTTTGTTGATTTAGATTGTTGGATTTCTTTTTTAATCTGTTTGTTATTGTTTAAGAATTTTTTTAAATAAGTTTTAGTTTATTATTCTAATAAATGATGAGCCTTTATTACTTTTATTACTACGAATTAATGTCCATTCTTGGATAGCGTGAATGAAAAAACAAAAAGCTGCCGAAAGAGATGAACGAGATAATGGGTGGTCGCCGGAGAATTTTTCGGTCATCGTCACTGTTGGTTCTTTTCCGTATTTTTTCGGTGGTCAGAACTATAGATGAATACCATTATAGGGTCAGAATTCAAAGATGTCGTACTAGCACTATCTTTCAAACGCGTAAAGACCTTTGACGAAGTCATATCGTTCCAAAAATGATTACTTTATTAGGTATGTATTTCATGAATGAAAGCCGCATCATATCCCCTCTGGCACACCGAACGATTTGTTTGGAAAGCCATCAGGTAATTGAAATTAGTATAATTACACAATCTAGTAATTATGCAGTTGTATAATTACGATAATCTGTTTGTTTTTGTCATAGTGTAATTACATATTTACTGTTTGATTGCACCAGTGTAATTACACAATTAAATTAAATTTTAAATAAAATAATTATCAATACTTAAAAGTTAATATAATAAATATGCCTTTAAATTTTTATAAGTATCAATGATATTATATTTGGTATTTAAGATGTATATTTTTTCGTGAATATACATTAATTAGTAATCGTATATTTATAACTAATCTTGTAAAAAGAATTTATATATATATATATATTCCAAATTAATAATATTTAGTTTAGATACTTACAAAAACTAAAAACATACGTTTCGTAAGAACATCATCGAATTCATGTTTGATAAAATAAATTAATATTTATGAATATGATGTCATAACATTATTCAGATGCTTGACAAAACTAATCTATCGATTCTAACTAAAAAATAAACAACATGCAATGTGAGCCAATACTACTAAAACAAGTAAATTAGAACCATGAATATAACCACAGTTTCAAAATCCAAAAAAGAAGATTTTAACGTATGTGTTATAAATACAATTATATTTATGGTGAATGTCTATATTTAGAGAGAGTCTAGGGTTCATTGCTTCGTGGCTAAGCCACCCTCTCCCTATAAATAGAGGGTTCTATTCTATTGTAATTCATCCTAAATATCAATAAGAATTCTCTCTCCCTACTTTTCTCTGCAATACTACTCTTCTTCTTTTATTGTTTTACAACACGTTATCAGCACGAGACTCTAACCAATTGAGTAGAAGCTTTGGGATTGAGCATAATGATTGTCAATTATTCCATGAACTTCCTTCATGATTAAATTCTGGATTTAAGGTAAGTATTTTACCGTATTTTTCTCTTTTATTCTATAATTTGATTTTAAATACAAAGACAATAAATTTTGATAACAACTCTAATGGAGTTTGTAAGAAATTATAACCACCTGAAGTGGTAGAAGTTTCTATGTCTTGCCATGATCAAATTCATGTATGATAATTTTGCACAAAAAGTGGAAACCCGTCCCATTGAATTTGCTCCATTCTCATTCCCTTAAGAGAATGTGATAGCAGTATATGATAAGTCTGAAAGAAGACAAAATTATCACTATGAATGTATCAATGGATGTGGACGTGGCAATAGGCGAAATTATAATCGTCATCATTGTGATAATGAGAATAATAAGGATTCTCAAAATAATCCCCCACTTGTGAAAATATTTGTCATCGATTTGATATGAGATTTTATAAAGCACATATAGATGATTATGGTCTATTCATAATGTGAATGTGACAACATCTGATTTAAGAATACATATTCATTTTTGGAAGAATATGAGCGTGCTAGTGGTATATACCACACTCACCTCTAGAAGGAGGTTTGAGATGATATAAGAAAATAATATCATTATTATGCCATGAATGGTCATTGGTCACGTACCTATTGTACGCCAAAATATTTTGGCATTGTGATTATTAAAAGTCAACGGTAATGCTAGAAACAGATCTTGCATATAATTTTGACCATAACCATAATGGTATAACTTTCTCTTTAAAAGAGATATTCACCATATGGGTGTTGATGAATATGTGGTACTACAAAATTAATTGAGAACTCTGCAAGAGCCAATTATACTATTTTGGAGAAACACAATTAATTACCAATAAGGTATTGTGTTGTAGTAAGTCTCAAAGAAACTTATTCAGTTTCCAAAGTATACGTGAAAGCGGTTGATTATATTGAGACTATAAATAAAGGAAAGATTTAATATCTTCTATTACTACATCTTATAGCGGGGCAATATGTATGTGAAAAGCTACTCGCTTTATTCTCCAATTTGTACTACATAAACAAAAGAATACCACAATGAAGTGGATATTTATTGATATAAAAACCCATATCATAATAAACTTGGAGTTTATTCATAATTGCACACATCATGGTGTAAACCTGAAGTTTATCAATATTGATAATTTATCCAGTTGGCATACTTGGTTTAGCCATGTTAATTCAAGTATGATGTGCAAAAATAAAATAGAATTCACATGGGTAAATATTAAAGAACTAGAAAGTTCTTTACGAATTCTCTTATATTGCTTGTTCTCATTAATTAATAGATCAACTAAAATTGGGATTGAATCTCATGAATGCTGAAAATATCAAAGGTGAATATGGGCCCATTCATCTACCATGCATACCACATAAGATGCATCTATGATATGGTTACATGTGCGATTATTATTAACCCGCAACATGGTGTTTGCGAGGTAATTTGCTCAATAATTTAATTTCGAGCATAATTTCCAGATTTTTTATTCAAGAAGTTCATCTTGATAAGTTGGTTTAGCAAATTAATTTATTAAGTGCCTCTACTTAATAGCTAAACAATTGCTTATGAGAACAAAGTTATCTATATCAGTTTGATATACGTTATATACCAAAGTATATTATTTTCTCCCCTCACAAGTGGTTCATGGTCAGGAACCAAATAATTCCATCTTATTATCATTGATGTGCGGTGTATATTTTGATTAACACCATAACGCACAAAGATGGGTTCTCAAAGTTGAGAAAACAAGTTAGTTTTTCTAACTTGAGGGGGAGACATGATAAACAGTTGAGAAAAGGTTACGTGGAATAAATTATCACTTGTACATCTAGATCCTCGAATAAGATAATATGAACTTGGAGTTTATAAAAGGATAATTCAGTTGCAATATATTGCAAAGCATGCCAGATGCATTTGCTGACCCAAAGAAAGTAACTATATTCTCATTGCAAATGCTCCTATTAAGTCCCAGAAGGACAAAGTCTATGGTACGCTTGAAGCATATAGACAAATCGGTTTCAAATAAACTTCTTGATAAAGAAGATGAGCAAATGATCTAAATGATCATAATAAAGGAGGCAAGTGATCTAGAAGATCACATGACATAACACTTCATAAAATCTCTTGAGAGATTCAGGTACCTGAAATTATGAATGAAGAGATCTCTATGTTATGTCTTTATGAAAAATAAGGATGTTGGAACCGATATAAAATGTTTGTCGACGGCATCTATAATAGCGCTAAATATATATGAGGATCTTAAGTCTAGAGAAACAATTCAAATAGAATTGGTTTCATATGAAAGACATGTAGTTTTGGACATGTAATTCAAACACTTGAAAGTATAAAGTCAATGGTATGTGCAATCAGTTTTCGATATCTTATATGTCTAGCATGACATGAAAACTTGATATGCATCTAAAGTCTATTATATGGCTTATATGACTTAACAATCCCTGAAGGATTTAAATTGCTTAAAGCATATAGAATTCATGGTCATGAAGTACTACATCCTCAGTGCAACTTGTGCACAATGTATCTTGCTATAACTATATGCATGATAATATGATAGCAAGAGTTTTCACCTCTATGTGAAGATATTGAACTGACGATTCCAACAAGATCATATGAAGACAATTCATCTCTATCAAGAATGATGATTTCAAGGTGCAATATATTCATTCAAGTTAATATGCCTGATTTGTTCATCAAATCTCTACAAAAGATCTTTTGAAGATGATGCACAAGATTGGAATGCAAATGCTCAAGGATGTGAATTGATGCTCTCATCATGGGGAGTTAATACGCGTTGTACTCTTTTTCCCTTACAAGGTTTTGTCCCACTGGGTTTTCCTTGCAAGGTTTTTAACGAGGCAACCAAAAGGCGTATTGTTAGATATGTGTACTCTTTTTCCTTCTCTAGAATTTTTTTCCCACTGGGTTTTATTTTAGTTAAGGTTTTAACGAGGCACATTATCTGTTGAATAGACATTCAAGGGGGAGTGTTATAAATACAATTACATTTATGGTGAATGTCTATATTTAGAGAGATTCTAGGGTTCATTGCTTGGTGGCTAAGCCACCCTCTCCCTATAAATAGAGGGTTCTATTCTATTGCAATTCATCCTAAATATCAATAAGAATTCTCTCTCCTTACTTTTCTCTGCAATACTACTCTTCTTCTTTTATTGTTTTATAACAGTATGTCAAATTCCAACATAATAATGATAAGTTCCACTACAACTTAAGATTAGAAAACATAATAAGTTTATAATCACATTCGAAAATGAAATTTCACTTTTATTGCATCACTCATTATATGCCAAGTTTGTTGATGACTCATTATTTCTAATATCAGGAGGTGTAGTTTCAAAAAATAGAATAATAAAATAAATAAAAAATAAAATATAAGCAATTATACGGAATCACAAGAAGTAAATGTAGAGAATTAAAAGATAAATATGTACAAAGAAAAATATATTTTAAAATTTCAAAATAAAATTAAAAAATAAAATAAAATTTAAAAAATAAAGTTATAGAGAAAATTAATTAAAATAAAAACAAAAAGGAAGGAAACTAAAAGGGAACCTTGTAATTACCACTAATTCTCACCTCTCCCTTGAGAATTGGAGAGTGTAATATACCCCTCCAATTACAAGAATTGGAGAGTGTAATTATTTAGCCAAACAAACATGCCAAACTATGTAATTACACCTAATTAATTACACCCAAATCTAATTCCTAGGTGGCTTTCCAATCAGGCTCTAAGTTGCAGCGTGAATTCAACGACTCCCCATCTCAATTTATGTGAGCTTGTTTGACTGGGTGCAAAGCATAAAAAAATGAGGACTTTTGGAACTTATGGTCCCAAACAAGTTAAAAGTGGTCCAAAGTATTTGTGTGATTATAAAAGCTTCTCATTAAGGGTAGAATTGTAAGTTTAAGCTAAACTGTTTCCAAATTTAGAAAGGAGTGATTCTTTTTGGAATGAACCAAAAAGGGAATAGGTTTACATAAACTGAAACCCAAAGAGTAACTATTTTAGCTTTGAATTGGTCTACATGACATATACTTGTGTATGAAAGATAACATATAATTTTAGAACTCAACATATAAATTGCGCCATTTATTCGAGGTTTATGTGATCCTATTTTATTTTTAATCTTAGTCATACAAATATTATTACATATTTAAATATACAAATACAAAAGCCTTCTAGCTAGCGACACAAAATATTATAGCATACTCCCTTTGTTCCAATTTATATTGAATGGAGTCATTATTTTTGAAACAGACCAAAAAAAAATAGGTTCACATAAACTTGAACGGAAGGAGTATCTAATATGATAAATTTAATAAGTCGTCATATTCAGTCAAATAAATTCACTTAAATTAAAAAGAATGGAGTATTAAATCATAGACCGTCACCGTGTGGTACCTCATAAAAATAAACGAGCATGGAGATTGGAGATGACCCACGTGCAAAGATCACACCTTATCCCTCTATAAATTGGCATCCACTTGCCAGAAAGACTCATATCAACTGCACAGTCTCAATTTCCACAAATTAAGAAAAATGAACACCCTCTTGCTGCTGCTTTCACTTTCAGTTATCCCAATAGCCTTGTGTGTACCCAATCCCTCAAGATTCTTAGCAAGTTCATCACCATCTCCAGTTCTCGACATCAATGGCGACAAAGTACAAGTGGGTCTCAACTATTTCGTGCTGCCAGTGATCCGAGGAAGAGGCGGCGGACTCTTACCTTCCAACGTTAAGCAAAACAATACTTGTCCTAGGGACATTATCCAAAATTCTGATGAGGTCCAAGAAGGTTTGCCTGTGGTTTTCACACCTTTTAATACCAAAAAAGGTGTTGTTCGTCTTTCAACTGATCTTAACGTCAGGTTTTTTACTCCAACTATTTGTGCTAGAGAAACTATTTGGAAACTTGGGACCTATGACGAGAATTTGAAGCAATATTTCATAGTGACTGGTGGAGTTGAAGGAAACCCAGGGCCTCAAACATTGAGCAGTTGGTTCAAGATTGAGAAACTTGAGACGGATTATAAGTTTGTGTTTTGTCCGAGTGTGTGCAAGATTTGCAAGGTTATTTGCAAAGATGTTGGTATATACACTAAAGATGGAGTCAGGTTTTTGGCTCTCAGTGACACTCCCTTCAGGGTTATGTTCAAGAAGATTTTCTAATCCTGCTTTTGTTACTCATGCTTAATTGGGACCTTTATTTTCCAATAATTAATGTTCTACTTTAATGTAATCTTGCTTGTGTTCCTTAATTTGAACATGAGAATATTGCGACTAAATTTGGTTATCTGTTTGATTTTCTACTGTTTCCTTAAGGGTCTGTTTGGAAAGCCATGTGTAATTACTGGTTGTGTATTTATTATGGTAGTAATTACACAGCCTGGTAATTACATAGCATTGTAATTACAATAGATAGCCAGTTTATTTGTCATGATGTAATTACAGTGTAATTACATGTGTCGTGTTTGATTGTACAAGTATAATTACACATATAAATAAATATTTTTTCAAATTAACATGTAGATAATTTAACAAGTGTGATAAATATTTATATTTATAATATATATTAAATATTATATATTATCATATATTAAAAATGCATATTCTTTTATAAAAAGATATATTAAATAATTATAAAATAAAACATAATACCATAAAAATAATTGGTATCTTCCATATAAATAATATTGTAACTTAAAAGAGAACAATGAAATTTTCAGTAGCAAGTTAAAATTCTTTACCAACTCATGTGAATATAAAAACGATAGATATGAGCTTATAAAATATTTTTCTTCATAGTTAATATTTATGCTAATGATTAAGAAACAAAATTAGTAAAATATGAATTGTTTTTTTAGAAAATTACTATTTATGCTAATGATCCATCTCTTTCTAATATTATACACTATCACTATCTGAAAACTGAATATGACAAGAAAATGTATTGTATGTATAAGTTGTGAAGTAGAAATGGTCTACCCATATTTAAAATTTTTCTTCTACCCAAATTTTTAAAATTATTCTTCTACCCAAATTTCATCCTTCTAAAATTGAAAGGCCAAAAATACTAGCGCACAACACCATAACTCAAGGCAACATGAAGTTAAGGAAAAAGAAAAAGTTCAATAGAGAATCAGCTATCAAGAAAAAATGAAATACAGAAGGAAAAAAAACTTACTAGTGAAATTGCAAAGACATCGTTGGAAAAAAGTGAATTAGAAATGATCTTCCTTTTCTGTCTTATTTGTTTCCCAAATAAATAATATAATATTAAAAGAAAAAAAAAGAAATTAAAAAGGAGCCTTGCAATTACACTATGTAATTACACCCAATTCTTTACTCCCCCTTGAGAATTGGAGAGTGCAATTACTCTCTCTGTCACGACCCAAATTCCACTAAAGGTCGTGATGGCGCCGGACACCACTGTCAGACAAGCCAATCCAAAATACTTAATTAAATCCTCATTTTAATACTCTTGAAAACTATGACTTTTCTTCAAATTTACCAATTTAAAAGATAACCGTCTCAAATAAAATTAAAGAATAAGCAGTTGATACAAAAATACTTTATAACCATCCCAGAACCCGGTGTTACAAGTGCACGAGCAATTTCTAAGAAAACTCGAATAAACTACAATAGCTGTCCCGGATACAATTGGACAGAAAATAAATAGAATTCTGAGAGAGACTATACTAGCTGCGGGTCGCCTCGAGGAAATACAGCTCACCTAGTCTCCGTGTCAACCATGCTGCTACGCCCACTAGGCCACTAGAGGTGCACGTGCCTGTGCAACAAAAATGCACAAAGTGTAGTATGAGTACAAAAACAACGCGTACTCAGTAAGAATCCCGCCTAATCTCGAAGAAGTAGAGACGAGATGGCAACTTCGACACTTACTAGAGGTCCAGTAATATATTATTAATGCGATAACTCATGGGTTTATTAAGAACAACAGTAAAAATGCAATGAGTCACTAAACAGGTGAAAGTTCCCATTTTATAATAATTTCTAACCCCGATCCATAACCGGCATTCCACGCCCTTCCGAAGACTTGAATCGATGCTAAATACTCCCAAAACTAGCCAATGATTATGCAAATTCATTAATATACGGTAAACTACTCATATTAATCCAATTTATAATAATTCCTAACCCCGATCGAAAGGTTGACAAAAATGCTCTCGAGCCCACGTGCCCGGATTCCGAATTTTTTTGAAGATTAAGCTTACCAATGACTCCATGAACTCAAATATATGATTTTCACCTAATTCCATACCCAAAATCGTGGTCAAATTCGAAGAATATCAATTTTCTAGGTTTTCCCTCAAACCCCAAGTTTTCTACAAATTTTCATGTCCAAATCCGTATATAGTCATGTATTTAACACTAAACTAACATAAATTACTTACCTCATGCTTGGTGGTGAAAACGGCACCTCAAGGTTGCTCCAAATCGGCTCCAATGGAAGAAAATGGGGTTGAAATGAATCCAACCCCCGATTTAAAAGAACCTCATTGCCTCCAGCATTTCCGCATCTGCGAGACATGGGCTGCATCTGCGAAAATGGGCCAAAGAGCGGGGACCGCATCTGCGGAGCCGCTTCTGCGGCTTGGGAGCCGCATCTGCGGTTCCTGGCCTGGCCTGCCCTGGGCCGCTTCTGCGATGGGAGGACCGCATCTGCGGTCTCGCACCTGCGGTCCACCAACCGCAGGTGCGGTTATGACAGAAGCAACAGCTTCAGCACTTCTCAAAATTTTATTTTCGATCCATTAACCATCCTGAATTCACTCGAGGCCCCCGGGACACCATCCAATCATACCAACCAGTCCAAAACATATTACGGACTTGCTCGAGGCCTCAAATCATATCAAACAATGCAAAAACCACGAATCGACCTCCAATCCAAACTTTATGAACTTTAGAATTTCAAACTTCTACTTTCGATGTTTAAACCTATCAAATCACGTCCGATTGACTTTAAATTTTACACACAAGTCATATTCGACATTACCGACGTACTCCAACTTCCGGAATCGGATTCCGACCCCGATATCAAAAAGTCCACCTCCGGTCAAACTTCTCAAAAACCTTCAAATTTCTATCTTTAGCCAAATGACTCCAAAATGCTCCACAGACCTCCGAATTCACTTCCGATCGCGCTCCCAACTCCAGAATTACCATACGGAGCTACTCCAGATTCGGATTCCCAAACGGACGTCGGTAACACTGAAATGCACTGCAACCCAAACCTATGAAATTTCTTCCAAAATGCTTATCTCCAAAATAGGCGCCAAAACGCTCCCGGGTCATCCAAAACCCGATCCGGGAATACGCCCAAGTCCGAAATCCTCATACGAACCTGCTGGAACCTTCGAATCCCGATTCCAATGTCGTTTACTCAAAAATCCAATCCTAGTCGATTCTTTCAACTTAAAGCTTCCGAAATGAAAATTCTCCTTCCGAATCAACCACGAACTTCCCGAAATTCAATTCTGACCACGCGTACAAGTCGTAATGCCTGAATTGAAGCTGCTCATGGCCTCGAACTGCTAAACGATGCGCTAGGGCTCAAAACGACCGGTCGGGTCGTTACACCCTCCAAATTACACTCAATTCCTCACCAACCAAGTAATTACTGTTGTTTATCTTCTCACCTTAATTATCCCCCTTTTCTCCTAAAACATTGTTTATAATTATTCAAATTTTGCTAATGTCGCGTTAAATTGCTACTAGTATTATATATATATATATATATATATATATATATATATATATAAAATATAAATTAAAGTAAATTAAAATCCTAAATTTATACTACATATGTACATAATTTTAAATNATATACTAGTCTTAAAGTACGCGCTTTGTGTGTGTGCCCTATTTTAATGTTATATAATTTTGAAAACTTACATAAATATTAATATTAAACAATGTGTTTACGCTTTTTATTTAATAAAAAGTTATATAAAATAGTATAAGTTTCTGAAAATCGTGATATTGATATCTATTTCGCTAGCTCAATAAAAGAAGAAATCATGCCCCACAGAAGTTCTAATATGGCTGTGAATATCTTATGAATTTGTCGTTATTTTTACCACTTAATACAAAAAACAAACAAGTAACACAAACATACTTTAATCACAAATCTTCAAAGATTTGTCAAAATAATAAAATTAAAAAAATTGAATATTTCGGTCTATAGAGATTTGCGAACGAAGAGGTTGACCCTTTAGCTTCTAGAAAAAGATTGGCAAGTGACATTATAATATCTATAAATAATTAATGTTGAGTTAACATTTATAACCAATAATTTAATATATTAAAAAAAATTATAGGAAGTTGCCATTGGTCAGAATGAATGCAGAAAAAAAAAAAATAACTAATGACATCTCATATAGAATACAAACTTATTGCTATAAGTTTGCATTTAAAATATATTTGTTGTCTACTAATTCATCCTTATTGCTATAAATTTTGTATGTTTCCAATTTGACGCTTAATATTATGAATTCTTACATATTTAAATGTTACAAAATTTTAAATATTTAAAATAATTAAATAAAAATTATGTCTAGTATGAAAGTAAGTATTCTACCTTTTGAAGATAGATTCTTATTGACCAAAATTATAACTGTTAGTTATGTTTAAAACTTGGAATAATCTAACTACGTACAGTTTGAATTATTAGAACGTTGGATCCAGTCTTGAGATTCTCCTTCTTGTTTGCTCTCATTACTTAACATTATCAAATAAGTTCTTATTTTTCATCACTATACGTTGGATGCTCTCTAGAAAAGGTAAAATACTCCTTACATAAGAAGACCATTATTATTAGTTTGTACAATTACTTAATTTACCTTAGAATTCCAATGCACTAAACGGTAGTCAAGATATTTATATGAATAAATTGGTATTTGATTTGAAATCCCTAAATATTAGGAAGACATACTTTATTCAAATAAAGAAAGAGTTAGTGGTCAAAATATTAGCAATTAATTTTAAAGTCCTAAATTTTAGAAAAATAATTAAATGACTATTTTATCTAATATGAAATCTATCTTTAAAGGGGTAAAAAAGGCGAACGACATTTCGCTAAGGATCTTCTTGCTTTTAATATAATATATACATATATTTCCACAAATCGTGCAAGTTCTTTCAAAGGGGAAAAAAGAAGCTTTCAGGTAGAACTTGGATATTTGTTATAGAACTTGACGATTTCATTTCTTACATATATAATTAAACTAGTTCCGAGCACGTGCGTTGCGCATGTACCTCATATCAGTGAGTATAAACTTTTTTAAAATCATATAAATATAAATTTTGAGGTAAAATTCTATAGATACACCTATAAAA